GAAGTGAAGTTAGCTGTGTGTCGGAGGAGGTTTTCAGTCAGCTCCTGTTCATTTTACCAGATGTGCCTTATTTTAATGTCAGTGGTGTGCGTATCACATGGGGCATTTAAAGCTGGACAAAAACGGGTCTCTAAGCAAGTTTACATTCCAGCTAACCACAGAGTTAGTTCATCTGGTTATTTTCGGGGTATATTTTTTGAGGACCTATGGGGGACCTGGAGGAGGTTGTTAATTAAGCTTCATTAAGTTCCATGCCGGCACCGATATTTTTAGCTCTACTTGAAAAACATCACAGTATTTTTTCGAAACAGCCTGGTTTGACGACTAAACCATATCACTTTCTGACCCAACACCCTTCACTGCGAGGCCTTTCCCGGTTCCAGTGGCGCACCAGTCGGCCGTGCCGTGATCGAATGGAGAGTTGGGGAGTCATAAAACGATCAAATAGTCCTTTTTGCAGCCCTTTGGTTACCGTATTGAATAAAGATGGCTCGGTACGCGTCTTTTTAGATGCCCGCAGATTAAACAAGGTTATGGAGTCCGAAAACGTACTGCCCAAGCCCATTGAGAAAATAATGATAGAACTCCCTGAAGTTGAATTCCTGACCTCATTGGATTGTACCCATTCGTATTGGCAAATCCCAATTGAGGCGGAACATAGAAAATATACAGCATTTTGTTATGGTACTAGATGTTATCATTTTCGAGTCCTCCCATTTGGTTTGAAGACGGCTGTGACCAGTTTCACGCGATGTATAGATAGAATTATGGGTGCTTCTTTTCAGGCTTTTGTTAATTCCTATGTTGATGATTTGTTGGTGGTGTCCGGCTCCTTTAGAGGACCATATCCAGCATCTGGATTCAGTGCTCACCCGATTGAAGGATGCTGGGTTTGGAGGGGTGGATGGCAGACCCAGATCGTGTTCAGGCAATCAAAGAGTTCCCAGTGCCGAAGAATGTACGAGACCTTTAGGGTTTTTTGGGGCTATGCAATTTTGATCGTAGTTATCCCCCGATTTTGCTGGTCTGTCTGAGCCACTTGGATCACTTTTGAAAAAGCAAAACTGCTGGTTTTGGGGAGAAACCCAAGTAAGTGCGTTTGGCAAACTTGAACAAATTCTTTCCCAAGAGGTCATCCTCGAAATGACTTTCCATATATGTAGTCCAGACGGACAGTAGTGATTTTGGTTTGGGGGCTGTGATTTTCCAATTGGATGGGGAGAAGAAATGTGTAATTGCCTATGCAAGCCGGTTACTTCTGGATAGGGAGAGAAGATTCTCAGTAAGTGGAGAATTTTGTTGCTTGGTCGTCATTTTACCGTTTTGAGTGATCACCAGTCACTATCTTATTTAAATTCTTGTAGATTGCTCTCTGCTCGGATCACCCGGTGGGTGTTAGCCTTTCAGGAGTTATCTTTTGATTTGGTATACCGTAAGGGGAAACAACATATTTTGCCAGACATTTTGTCAAGACATCCTCCCGTTCGTCTGTTCAGTCCGGCTAGTGGTAGTTTCGTCGTTCGTCCGGTTCTGCAAAAAACTCCTGGTTTTCAGGTCCTACTGAATACCTAGCTAAGGATCAGCTAACGGACCCCAATCTCTCCATTGAAATAGGGAAAATCCGTAGCGGCGTACTGTCGGATCGTTTTCATCTACAGGACGGTATTTTGTTTTTCTGTCGGGACGAACAATATCGGGTTTGTATACCCCGAGCAAAGATCCGGGAATTTATTCGGATTTATCATGACTACTTTGCTCATTTTGGTGTCTACAAGACCTGAACGGCCTTGCACGCAGATATTTGACATCGGGGACTTCATAAAAAAATCAAGCAGGTCCTAAAGTCGTGTGATATCTGTCAAAAATCCAAGTGCTCTCCTTTGCCCAAGCCAGGTCGGAGCTCCATTATTCCAGAGGGACCAAGATATTTATTGACCGTGGACCTTTACGGTACATTCCCACCATCCCGAGGAGGCGTGGCTTACATTTTCGTGATTTTGGACATTTTCAGTAAGTATATGTCCCTATATTCTCTGAAACGCGCTACTGCCAAAGCTGCAGTCAAGCATTTTGTGCAAGACTACGTGCGAAGAGTGGGAACTCCCAAGAGAGTGTTGAGCGACCGGGGTACTCAGTTCGCGTCGGGTCTCTGGAAGGATTCACTTGAAGCACTCGGTGTTACCCCAATTTACTCTTCGGTTAGGCATCCGGAAGGAAACATTCTGTTTCGACAAACATACGCGTTGGGCGTTAGAAGTCCAAAAGTTAGCCGAGGTGCTTAACAATGTCCACCACGAATCAACGGGTTTCGTGCCAGTGGAATTGCAGTTGGGGCGGCACCGAGATCTCCTCTAAGAGAGGACTTGTGCTTTCCCGGAGGGAAGCCTGCTGAAAATCATGTGGGGCTGTTTTTGGCCCGCGAGCAACTCATATCTCTGAGGCCGCGCGTCGTAGGTTTAAGAACCTTGGGAGACCTATTCTCCCTTTCCGTATTGGGGATTTAGTGCTACTGAGAGCCAACCCAATATCATCGGCTTCTTTGCGAGAGACCAAGAAGTTCTTACTCCTTTTCGAGGGACCGTTTCGTATCAAAAGTGTCCTGAGCCCTAAGACGTACGTGTTGTGCTAGCCGGAATCAGACGTTGAGCGCGGCATTTTCTATATCAGCCATTTGAAGCATATGTTTCTCCTTTTGTCGAGTCCACGGACGTCACCCCTCCCACACAAGAACGGGGGAAGATGTGACGGAGTAGTCACCCGTCTGTCGGGCATCGAGCCACGGTAGCATACGACTAGGTGCCGTTATGCATGGCTAGTATTTTCGAGTATGTCACCGTCAGTAGGAATTGTCAAAATTGTCAATGAAGTCACTCTAATTTGATAAGTCAAGTATTGGCGGGTTTTTTCTCCATGGTCGGCCATCGTGAAAGTTGCGAAGGAATGATGTGATTCACAATATTATTCTTTTATAGGTTTGAAGTGCTTCCTGGCTTAGTTTTTGACGTCAATCGATGTCGTTGGATGGCCTGCATTTTTGGCCGTTATTGGATAAAGTTTTGCGAAGAACGATAAACTTTTCTTTTCTATACCTTCGAGATACTTTTGGTTTTGGATTTCTGCCCTACCTTATTCTTTCTACATCCCTGAGAGCGGCCTCGCCATGCTCCGTCTCAAAGTGAAATTTTATATTATTTCAATATACTTATACACTTATATATAAACCGATCGCCCAGTTACTGGGCGATCACAGTAACGTTTTTAGTGATTTTTCGATTTTGACCAAATTGATTTTTTTTTTATTTGAATGTTAACATGAATTCTAATTCCTACGAAACGCTGATGGCTTGATCATTATTCAGGAAAAAACAAAAGATACCCTTTTCCCTTTAACTTCTTGTGGTAAAAGTGGGTGGTTAAACTTAGCTTCATTATCTTCTGGATTGAAGTATGATCTCTCAACAGTGATTTTTTATGCACGTCAAAGTCTTCTGTTTGAGAGAAGGGAAGACAAGTTTTTTAAGTAAATATGGAATTTTTTAATTTCAATTCTAATAATAATTGAGATCCTATAGACACAGTCTATAGAGTATCTTAGAAATGGCAGAGGCAGAGGCATATTCGTCCGCATTGGGGCTCTTGAAGCAATTCCTCAAGACTGCTTAAAAATTTTGATCAGCACGATGCCACGGCGCTGGCTGCAATTCCAGCTCTAGGAGGGCATACTCGTTTTTGACTGAATCTATAGGAGGTATAGGCATTCGATGTTTTTTGTAATTGATGGTTTTTTCGTTGAGTGCTAAAAAACGGAGTGGGAATAAACGATATTGATTTTTAGAAGTGTTCGCAAATTGTTGATCGATGAAGTTCCTGTAGGTTCTCAATCATTGTTGATGAAAATAAATAAAAATCCATACTTTCTCAAAATACTTGAATCTTTTCTTATTGCGAAAAAACCATTGTGCTGAGAATGATAATAACAATTCAATCCAAAGCATAAAGAAGCTGAGTTTAACCACTAATTTTCGCCACAGGGCGTTGAGAAGTTAAGCGTGAAAAAGTAACTATTTTTTTCCCTCTATAATCATCAAGCCATCAGGTTTTCTTGGGAATTAAAATGTAGGCTAACATTCAGGAACATATATCTACGAATTGGATAAAATTCCATAAAAGTCGGACAGAATCAAAATAGTTACAGGGCGATCAATTCGGGTGATTTTTTTGTGACCAGTTCTCAAACAAGGTGTTTCTGACTAACGAGATTAGTTTTTTCCTTTTAGGTTCCTAATAGCGAGATTTGAAGCTCAGTGACATTTTGAGGCAAATCATTTAATTTGTCTAAGGTTTAGACATTGAAATAATACTTTCATATAGGAATGGGAGAAAACTCCAGATATCTTGAGAAATTGACGTATTTTTCAAGGAAGATATATTGAGGAATTCTCGGAAGACAGAAAAATAGAATTTCCATTAAATACTATGAAAATATTGAAATAGTTATTAATAACAGTTATTGTCAACTCAATTGCCGCTCTCGCACCGTGCCGTATCATAGTGACCACAGCAGGCGAAAAGAGTTTGGGGACGAAAAATACTTGCCTTCAAAAATAGTCGATTTTTCATTCGGAAATTAGTACGTAAAATGACATTTTTTGTAGAGATCGACGAAGAAAAATGTTTCCTTTCTCCTTATCAAAACTAGGACTTGGGGATGAAATTTCCCCCTCAATATTTTGTTTATAAGGAAAATAAATTATTGAAAGGAATTCAATAAATAATTACCGAACAGAAATTAGGATGAAATCACCGAAGATTTTGCGCAGGTATTTTCACGAAATGACTAAATTAAAAATCTTTTCAGAGATACTAGCGAGTTACATGTGAAAATTGATCGATATACAAATGACAATACTCATTGCTGTTACAGTGGTTGCCCTCAGAGATATTTTGTCAACAAAGAATATTCAAGTGGCAGAAAAACGTAAAAATATCAGTATAATTACCTGTCGGAAAACATATGAAGTGTCAGTGTCATAGAAAGAAATTTCTGAACCCCCTTTCAATAGAACCACACTATTTTCTTGAATTTTCTTTAGTTCTTCTACAAGCCTCCTTCTGTTGGTTTCAAATAGTATGAGTGGAACTTCCAGGGTATGAGGACCCATACACAATTTTCTGGAAAATAAAGATTGTTGATTATACATTGTGTATTTAGATAACACCGAGAACATGCGAGGGATTATTCCTTGTGATATTTTAGGAAATAAAGTTAATATAAACATGTGACCTAACTTGGGCTTTTTTTTTTCGAGATACAGGTTATTAATATTTCGATAAAAAATATTTTTTCTATTCATTTGTCGATTGTCTTTCCCATCAATTTAAATAAAACGTTGTGGTTTTGTTAATAGTGATATGGAACTTCTTTTAGTGCAATTAGATTCGAAATGATATTTCAAGTGGTGTCACAGTGGGTAAATTTATCGATGTTCATAGTGAATGTCATTGTTGTTTTTCTGAGTTTTATATTCTTATTAGATTGAAATATTGTAATAACAACTTTTTTATCATCTGTGTGATTTTTGTATCTATCTTAGTTTTTGCGGAAATAATAAAAATTCGATTTGACTCCAAATTTTAATGTAGGTGTTCAGAAGACTTCTATTGATATCACTCAATAACCCAAGTAGAATCATTATGAAATTTTGGGACTTTCTCAGTATCCATCCATATTGAATTTCGGCACTATGAATGCTTTTACAAGGGGGATATGAACAAAAACAATTAATACTTCCAACTTCAACATCCTGTATCTCAAAAACAGAGCAAGTTAGGACACATGTTCATATGAACTTTATTTGCTAGAATGTCACAAGGAAACATCCGAGGAAATTGAATTTGAATTTTTCGGTGTTATTTAGATACACCCTCTATATAGACAAACTGAATATACGGTATGCTTCCTGGTAGTTTTATCAAGAGGACTGACCTAAAATGCCACAGTGACTAGTAAAAGCGTACTGAGAGGAATAAAGACGTCTTATTCGAGTTCCTATATGTCCATGACCTTCCCGACTGCAAAGACCTACAAATGACGTCTTATTCGAGTTCTTATTTGTTCATGACCTTCCGACTGCAAGAAGACCTACAAATGACGTCATATTTCATGACATCATATTGACATATAATAGTGCAGGTCATAATGTCATCCTTATAAATAGTAGGGCAAATTTCGGTGATAGTTGTGCTATTGATTATACGAGCATGGAATTATGCCATGCCAATTTAGATTTAATGTATTAAGTTGAACAGTCATTGAAATAGTCGGTACCGTCGGCACTGGGACGAAATAGCGCAGGACAAAATAGCGCAGGACGAAATAGCGCGGACAAAATAGCGCAGGGACATAATAGCGCAGGGTCATAATAGCGCAGGGACATAATAGCGCAGAGACAAAATAGCGCAGAGACAAAATAGCGCAGAGACGAAATAGCGCAGAGACAAAATAGCGCAGGGTCATAATAGCGCAGGGACAAATTTGAGCGCGAAAACGTAGTGCATCATCTATGATTACGTTAATTCGTTTGTCAGGGCATAGACTATTTCTTCAAATACTAGATGTTTCAAAAGGAGACTACCCTTACAAACGAAGTAACTTAATACTAGGTATGCCGTTGGATTGTTAAAGTAGACCTATGATTAGGTTAGTTTGTTTGCTAGGGTATAGACTCATTTTGAAACACCTTGTATTTGAAGAATGAGTCTTTACTCTAACAAACGAACAAACCTAATCATAGATCCTGCACTCCATTTTCGCGCGCAATTTTGTTCCTGCGCTATTTCGTACCATTACTCATAGTTTATGAATTGATGAACGACACAGACACAATGAATCAAATCGACAATATATATATATATAAATATATATTTAATAACAATAATAATGATTTTTAACTACAATGAAAAACCTCAAAAGAATTACAACGATAAATTATATGCTACTGAGCGCAAATGTTGTTGTAGGTTTCTAAATGAGTAATTGTTGAGCAAAACCTTGATTCTCTCTTTTTTTTTTGTTCATATTTACTATTACCTGCACCATCATTTCTGAAACCAACTCTATATTTATTGAAAAAGATTTCAGTGAAATTTTGTTCCTTCAGCAATTGGTGAGCTAATTTGTATAAAGAGGGGTTGTAACAATGTAATCCTATTTTCCCTTCGAATTGATAGAATACAGTTGGCACCTGATACGGACGTATAAAGAACAAACACTAATATATTTACAATACTCGGGCGCCAGTTATTTTAGCGTGGTATGCTCCACGATATCTCCTCTCTAAACGAATCAACTTAGAGGAGGCCCCAGGCAACTACAGATGGAGATACGGTATGCCAGAGGTTCGTTGCTTACTTGCTGTTTCTATTTTAGCAATGTTCAGTACTTGATTTTGTTTGCGAAGGCAATTTCTGTAGGTTAGAAAATTTCAACTCTACCACTATCACTACTAGTCAATGAAGCAAACAACAGTTTTTATAAACAAAACATATAGTTTATTTGGAGAGCATAACAAAAGAAAGGGTCAATTACATAATAATTATGTTCGACAATCTTCTCCTAAATACCTAACCTAAGTTTATGGAACGAGCGACCTGGAGGTGAATTTAACTGATTGACAAACGCTTATTGCACATTTTCACATCGAAGACTATCTGTGACCTTCAAATTTTTAATCGGTATAATATTGTATTATTACTCATTCAATATTCTGAAATTCTACCTAAATCATGACTTGTCAGAAACATCTCAAATATTAACGTGATCAAATAAATCTACTCTACTCTACTCTACTCTGTCTGTCAACCCGCCACGCATATATACTTATTCAGTGTTTCGTTCACTGCGCTAAACATACACGCCACTGTTCAGTCACCTCTCACCCGACATTTTTTTTTTGTGCGACAAGGCAGGGAGACTGTTCAGGTGGGTAGTGGGCTGTCTGACAGAGACGCGGTTACGTATCACCCGCGAAAATATTAGCACCCTCAACTTAGAATTTCCCCTCAACTCCCGGAATGGTCTACATAGGTATTTATCCTCAAACAATCTCGAAGAAATGCTACCCCCTGCTCAATCACCTTTCACCCGACTTTTTTTTTTTGTGCGACAAGGCGTGGAGATTGATCAGATTGGTAATAACCTTCAAGACTGAGAAAGGATTCAGAGGGAATGAACGGAGCAGGATTAACACAGAAATACCCCTGGTCAACCACCCTTCGCCCGACCTTTTTTTTTTTTTTTTGCGACAAGGCGTGGAGATTGATCAGATTGGTAATAAACTCCAGGACTGAGGGACAATTCTAGTACCCGGGTGAGAAAGTGAATGTAACAGAATTATTAAAAAAAAAATACTTGAACCCGGATCAATGACTAAAATAATGAATCAGGAATAATAGAGAAATGTTCAGGTCCCAGACGATCTCGTCTCGTAAGAAAACTAGACAACAAGATAACAATGATCACTTTCTTCGAAACTCACCAGGATAATATTTATCGTCAGGTACGGGCTTGGAACAGCTAATCCAAAAATGAAATGGCACTCGGTTTCGGTACACGGTAATTCACTCGGTACGGACGGTCACACTTATTTACTCACTATACCGATCTATCAATCTATCCCTGTTAGTCTCAGGAAAATACCTTTTATAGTTTTACTCAAGGTCATGTCATTTCTGAAAAACACCGAGGCCAGTACGCCAAAGCTACTAAGAAAGAGGTACAAAAACAACGAGGTCAATAGATGAAAAACTATGTACAAACACACTCGACTCGGGAGCGATAAAAACTGTCGAACTGCACCAAGATCCACGCAAAAAATATAGACCATGACTCTAAGCGTTTCATTTTTCCAGGTCACAAACAAGACAATACTTATGTCCAAATAATAAAAAAAACAATTCGTACTGGATAACAAAACTATTCAATTCTACACTGAATGCAATCACTATCAATAATATGAATAGGGTAGTAACGAAGCATTCCCTGATAATTCCGGAATGATTTATGAAAAATGGGAAACAAACTATTTATCATATACACTGCTCAACAATAGACATAAGAAGATACACTGCTCAACCATAGGAATGGCACTAATTCTCGTTAAACGGCAAGAAGTAAAATAAATGCTTCGTTACATTCCCCTCCTACTTACAAAAAAAAACAAAAAAAAAAAAGATCAAAACCAACGGTTTGACTTTATTTTTTCTTTATTTTACCAAACTTAACTTAACATTCACATTTCTAAGTATAATGTCGACGAATTCACACATGATTTGGAAAATGTTTACCTATCTACCAGCGGCTCTCCCAGTGGAAAGATCGTGCATGTCGACAGACACAACGTCGGCACTGAACACCCCGATCTGCAACCGTGCTCGTGGATGTTTGGGTTCCCTTGTTAACTACCCGCGGCACGGGCTTGGTAACGAGATGTCTGGGTCCGCGGACAGTGCAGAGACAGTCACAGGAGCGGATACCATAAAGCCCACAGCGTGAACAAAAAATTCGATAGGGCTTTTGGCAATGACTTCGGTCATGTCCGGGATATCCGCACCTCCAGCAAAGTCCCAATTCTACCGGCAAATAAATGGGATCGTCCTTCAGGTAGTTGGCACTGAGATGATCTGGTCCTTTTTCCGGTTGCCGAGTCACCCGGTCCATACTGTCGGGCCTCAAAGGTACGGGTAAGTCGGTAGCCGTGGCCGGAAGATGCATCTGATACAACGATGTTGGCGTTCTAGGAGATAGTTGAGGGTCCGGGTGGACTTCAAAGTATGCATTCGCACTGAACGCATCGACTATCTTCAGGTCGGGTGCAATATCGCTGCTCTCAGGGAGTGTCGCTCCGGAATCCGGTATCTCCTGTTGCTGTTCTGGGCAACCAGGTACAGGCTGGTCAGTGATGGCAGATGCGTGCACGGCGTTCACGTCGACGGACTCCCAGTCGTCAGGAAGTGGGGACGTGGAGATTTCCAAAGTAGTTTCCATCGTCTTGGACTGAAAGGAGACATTTTCCATTATCATCAGAAACGGACGAATTGTGAGCATTCGGTACTATACCCCTTTGGGTATAGTGATGGTTTTTGGCTTGCCCGCCCGACATTTTAGCGTTACT